TATCGTTGTTATAGTCTATCTTAGCTTATGAGATTATGAATTTTTTGTATATGCTAATTGTTCAGGTCAATTCATTACACTATACATTTTCTACGTATGTTATTTATATAAATATTATCGAATTTACCACGAGTTAATCCTTTTTTACATTTATAAATAAATTAATTTAAGCTAAAAATTTTTATTTTTTTAATTTTTGTGAAATACTAATAATTATATAATATTAACTGTATAAAATAAAATTAAAAATAACAGATAATTTGTTTATGAGCTTTTTATTTCTATTAAAATACTTTATTATACTTTTCAAAATGTAAAATGCAATCTGTTTCATATAATATTTCTTCATATAATAATTCTTTAGCATCCGGCAAACATTCTTTTTTATTATCGTTTGGGGTATACAAAATAAAGAAATAGAAAAATTAAAAAAATACAAAAGATATATTTGCATTTCTCTTTCATTTGTATAAGCCAATGTTGATTTACTATATGCATAGAGCGATAGCATATATGGAAAATAATGCGTAGATGAAAAAATATACTGGAAGGAAAAACAATGAGGTGTAAAAAAAGAATAAAGTGAGAGGAGAGGAAAGGCGACAAGCTGACCAGCAGATCGCATCTATCTCGTGAGTAGCACATGATGTACATTAACTTTGGCTTGCTTTATTCATTGGAGCAATATACTACTATACTTGTTGGGGCTGAAATATATACGCGTGTAGGCATACCTATACTGTGGTTATTTGACATAATGTAAAAGCCTTGTGCGACATTTCTTCACTATCATTTTACTCACTCTCAGCTCGACACGAGCTTTTCTTACGTCACTTCATAAAAGCTTTCAATTAACAACTGAACCTTCTGACACGTACGTGTATTTATGAGTATGCATACCAATACATTTTCTAGCTTGCTCAACTTCTTTTACGTTATACAGAGTATGACAATCTGTAAATACTAATACATACTGAATAACATAATTTTTTTACTTTTTGTTTATTTGTTTAAATTAGTAAAGAAGTTAGATTATGGATAAGAATAAAGATTATAGAAATCAGTGATATTGAACAATATTATATTCGTATTTTTGTTTCTTTACGCAATTAAATATAACGAACAATGGAAGCTAGTTACCGAGAATTTGATAAAACTGATTCATTATAATTGGATTAATTACATATAAGATCGATTAACCTGTTTGCAAGAATTATTATCAATTATCTTGGTAATATCCGTTGTAAAGGATATATTCTATACTATATCCGAACAAAACTGTGCCTTAAAAAAATAGTAACGGGTTGAAAGGTAAACAAGCGTTAAGTAAAAACAGTTAAAAAACAAATAAAATACTCAATAGTCGATGTAAGTGGGGAATAGCGTTATACACCTATTATGGCTGCAGCAGTATTACGATCAGTCATTGCAATATACAACAGGAGGACATCGGAGTATGTCCATCACACCTCGATGCCCATGAACTATGGTCTCTCGTACATCACTTAATATAATCTAGAGACTGGGTGCTGTATAGTTACTCATTAATTGGTAATGTATATGTAACTAAATTATTTCAGGCTTTTTAAACCGAAATTACAATCAATAGAATTCCGCCCAAATTTCTTATCGCTCAACGCTTATTTATGTTTGTCGAAAGATTATGCATAGAATGTTATCGTCTTTTTCATCATACATTTTAAGACGGATTCCCACGAGGCTATAGTATTTGGCTCATGCAGAACGCTACAGTTCATTTTCTGTTTTTGTTTTTAAAATAAAAGTATTTAATCTACTATTATTTAATTATTTTATATTATTAGTATGTATTAAAATAATACCTATAACTTTTTTAATAAGTTGATGATATTGCAATTTTTTTTCTTCACTTTAATATTACCAATGCAATGATAAAAGTTCATTTTGATTTTTATTAATTTTTATTTTTAGTTTAATTTTTATTAATTATCAATAATTTTTATTTATCAAGCACATATTTATAAACGTAATAAACATTTAAGTCAGTATTACTATAACGTTGAATATATAGTTTATACATAACTCTGAAAAATGATCAAAAATAATTTACAATTTTTTTCAGTTCTATTAATAAGACCAAACAAAAGATATGAATTTAATAATTAAATATCCAATTCTTAAAATATAAATATTTTACATATAACAAATTTACATGTAACATTTTACATATAACATACAAATAAATTTATAGCATTCAACAGTATTGCTTAACTAAATACTTTTTACAATTAATTCTAAAAATAACAAGCAAAAAAGTAAACTTTTGAGTAGAAGAAAAATAAACTGGTAAACGAAATTCATAAAGTAACAAACTGATGATTAATTTGAATATATAGTTCTCATTTTTGTCATTATATCTTAATTTTATAAATCGTTTGAACTTCACAACAAAAAGAGAAACGCAATACGATGAATTGTAAAGACCTTATTATTTAGTGTGAAGTTTTTTAAGCATTAATCAAATTTCGAGCATTTTGCGAACCCTCACTTTGCTAAATATAAATATAATCGATGTTGTTTTTTTTAGTTTTGTTTTTTTAATAATTAAATTGCAATGTTTAACATTATATTTATTGTAATTATTGTAGTTATTGTAGTTATATATTAACATGTGCAAAATGAGTAGCTTTTCGTTTCTCATGGTTGATTATTCTACTTGTCGAAGGCTGATCAAAATAAATTGAGTTGAACAATAGGTATATTTTGAAGGATTTATTTTTTTTCAAAAAATTATTTTCAGCATGATTAAAAGAATATATAAATATTGCTGTTTTTAATGTAACAATAACTTAATATTTTTTAACGAGTTATGCTAAGCGATAATTGAAATTTTATTTCAATATTATACGTTTTGCATATTTCAACATTGAATTATATATTCTTTAATAAAATGTTTTGCTAAATAAAAATATTCAATAACTCACATTATGTTTTTTTTACAACTTCTTTTCATATTTCTTGTTACAGATTTATTTTAATTAAAATTCGTTTATATTTATCTTATATTGAATGGTTTTGTTTTATTTTATTTCCACAAATTAATTTACCCCGATATATAATTATATAAATAAAGTGATACAAATTGTCTGAAATAATTAATAAAACGCATAAATAAACAATAATATAAAACATATAGTTTTTATTTATCTTAAAAAAAAAACATAAAATTTTTCAACAATCTAATGAAAGAATAGTCAATAATATGGTTATATGATTTTTTTTAAAATAATTATCAAAGTTTCCGTAAATTCTTTACAAATATAAAAATTTGTACTCTAACATAAATACTTTAATTTCATTTAAATAGTCATTAAGTAGAGATTTTAATTATAAAATAAGTATTTAATTAAAGTATCAAATTATTGGAAAGTAGTTGAATAAATTTTTATCCAATTGTCATTTATACATTAAAAAATTAATATCTATTATAAAATATGCAATAATAAATTATTAATTCATAGATACGAATAAAACTACAATTTTAAAAAATATTTGTTAGAACTCAGGTAATGTTAATATTAAACTTATTTATATATTAATATGAAAAAAAATTAATTTAAAACTAAGATATTTTAAATATTTTGCCAAACTACCATCTCAGAACTTCGATTATTATAAAAATTTGATTGATGACCTTGACATCTTGAAAATCCGTAACAAAACAGACTTATTTGGATCATCATAATATATGTTATGATGTTCGTAGCCAAGCTGGTGATGAATTTCATTTCGTTCATTCAATAGGTGACAGTAAGCAAGATTGGCTTAAACATATAAGTAAAAAATATAAACAATTGATAGAAACGAATAAATAATAGATCTATACAATTAATAAGAAGCACATAAGATACGTATAGAATTTAAAAATATTTTGTATATTTAATATTTTCAAATCTAATTCCAAATTCTTATACTTACTATAATAATTTATTGATAAATATATTTAAATTTAGAAACTTGATAATTATTTTAATTATAAATTTCCTCATAATTATTTACAATTAAAAAATTGAAAAATTATGTTAAATTTACCTTAATGTAATTGTTTGTCATTAAAAAAATAGGTAATTGTTTATGATATATTTAATTCGAATATATATGATTTACAAAAATATAATGCTAATGAAATAGTTGATTTTACTTCTTATTCTTTGTTTAATGTAAAATAATTTTGTAGAAAAAAGAATTCAGTTCAATTAGAAAAAAATTTATAAATCAAAAGTTAAAATTTTAATTTAAAATTTCAACTATCTATAATAAGCAAAATTAATCATATGTATTACACACATATATATATATATATATATATACATATGTATATTTGTAGAATTTATTAATAATATTTTATTTATTAATATACTACAAATACATTTATTAAATGTAAGGATTTATAAAATGAAGTATTTATAAAAATAAAACCTAATGAATGTTGCAATGAATGTTAAAAATTCATAACAATTGAGACTTTAATGTTTATAAAAATTCTTTTAAAAATAAATTAATTTTAATATTAATTTTTAAAATATCAAATTTATCTAATTATAATATCTGATAACAAATACTATATTTACTCAATAAAATATTGTATATTTTATATTTTGACAGTATATCTTAGATAATCAAATAAACCAAATATAATATATATTTAAAGGTAGTACATATTAATTATTAAATTATTAATTTTATTTTTTGGTAGAAAATTAAAAAAATTTATGTTTCTTTTGCTGTAATTTTGTATAGCAAATATGTAAGATTTTGTCAATTCGAAATGGTTCTCATTATTTTAATATTTGTTATACTATGTCAAACTATGAGTTTTTAGATAGTACTGTTCTTAATACGCTGTATAAGAAAAACAAATTTTCTTTAAAAAAATTAACAAAAAAGTAGAGGAACTGAGATTATAAATACATAGTATCTCACCAAATGATTTTCACAGTAATAGTAGTAGTCACAGCGTATTGTTTTAGTTCCCAGCCTGAGGGGCATAAGGCGATATGTATGGTCCTGTAAGAATATATTGCACTGCAACGATCATCAATTGTGGTGTACTCCATCTGATAATGTACGAGCTTCCTGAAACAGAAAATATATTTTACTTGTTTACGGATTGCATTAGCGATTAAAATGTTGGAAAGTGATGAGAAACAATACAAAATTTTAAAATATAAGCAATTTAGTGATCAATCGTTGTTTTAATATGGTTTAAACATGTACTAGTTATCGTAAGTCTTTATTGTACGAAATTGAACAGCACATTATGTTTATTTTATAATCTAGCTTTCAAAATTGTATTGTATTGCCCAATTTTTTTTCAACTATAAATATTTTCTTTTTTCTAAATTATTTTGCCTTAGTAGGAATTGGATTACACTTTCTACTAGTATGTATATACATATGTAATTATTAGTACTTTTTTATCAACGGTGTAAAACATTTTTAGCTGCATATCATTGAAGCCAATTAATAGAAAGTATATAATAATAGAAATTATTGAACTTTCTTTCTTTCTCTCTCTCTCTCTATATATATATATATTTGTTACATATACATACAACATTATATATACATATAACTTTGTGAAATTATACCTACACACACGCGCGCGGCGCCTCCATACACACACACACACAGACCCATATATATTTGAATTATAATTTTTGTATATATATATGAAAATAAAAAATATACCCTTCATTCTATGCTATTTTATATTGTTATTGTATTAATTGTATAATGCAAAGTTATTTTCTCTGCATTATCAACATCAATTAATAATTTTTCTTTATATAAAGTTATATAAGAAATCCTAAAATCCATATTTTTATGTTATACTGTTCGTAATTGCACTGATCCGATTCGAAGGATTAAATGTGAAATTGCACTGATCTGGCTCGAAGGACCAAATGGTTGAAAATGTATATAATTTTCTGGCTCGAACTGCCAAGTTCGATAGTTGAGTTTATTTTTCGCCCGCCTTAGCGATGCTTAGGAAAGGAGTTAAGTGAAAGGGCTGTAAATATGTGCAGTGTGTATAAACTTCGTTAAAACGTCGTTTATTTTGGTTTTATTGACAATTACACTATTGTTGATCTGAATTATTTCTTCTCATGGGAGATCGTGAACTATCTTCTATCACAATGATGTAGTTGCTTCTTGGTGGTGGTGACGATGTCGTCGATAATGTTATAGGGATCAGCAATGGATTTTGTATACTCCTTGAAAGGGAATATAGCTTGCTTTTGAAGTCTATGCTAACGTTGTTGTTACCCTCAAAAGAGACTACTGGTATACCTTCGTATGAAGGAGTGGTCCAATACCATGCTTCGTGTAGTTAACTATTTCCTTGTACTGCAGTCAGCCCTTGACTGGTTATTAACTGTTGCGCACTGGACAATTGAACGTGTGTTCCTTGTAATGGCTGCAATGAGAGAACGTGACCGAGTGACGAGCTCACGGCTTTAGACTCTGACTTAATGGCGTGATTAGGGCGTAGAAGACTGACAAGGACGAGTAACTGACTCGGAGGAATAGCTGACTCGTGCTTCCTTAAGTATCCACACGGCAGCTAAACTAGCAGGAAACAATGCTTAGGTGTTGCTATTACTAAGACGAGGCATGCTTTAAGAACGTTCGAGAATATAAGCTTTAGACAATTCGAGAATTCAGTGTGTTAAATGTTTACAAAATTCTAGGACTAGGCTTCTATTCTAGGAATAAAATTTCCGAGAATCAAAGGTCTCGAAAAAATGTTCCAATTCCAAACATATACTTAAATATTTATGGGTTAATCATTAAGTCATTCATTTTTCATTCAAGTCTGTACAAACGAGTTCATTCAAATAAAATTTGTAACAATCAAGTAATTTGTAGTACATTTTGGTATACAAGTTCGAAATTAATGAAGTTATAAAGAGACTTTCTTACTAATATTACTTTTATATTTGAATAATAATAAATAAATATATAATTAATAATCATCATAATATTGAATTATATTATATAAATAAACTTTTTATTTTTATTTACATCAGTTAATTATTCATTTAAACTATTTAAAATAATAATATGATTTATAGTAATTCATACATTATAATTTTACTATTAAATATTTATTTAAATAAGCATAAAATAAATGTATAAATCTATGTAAAATACAGATATTAATTTATATTAGAAGATTGTATAATTACTTTTTTGGTGATTTTCTTTTTTTCGAAAATAATTATTTCTTTTAGATTTTAAATGTTAATTATGATAAATAATTACATATACTCTTTCTATCCATTTATTAATTATTAATTAAATTCATATTTTGCCTTATAAATAATGAGTTATAATACGAGTTTATGAAACAATGTTATGAATTTTAAGTATTTATATATAATATTCTATGTTGATATTTATTTATTTATATAAGTATTAACTTATTTTTCTGTGTTTTTATGTATTTATTTTTATTACTATTGTTCAGGATTGAACCACCCAACAAAAAATAAGAATTCATTGTTTGTTAAAATACGATTCCGATATATCACATTTAGATTAAGGCGCAATATTCGAATTATACGTTACAAAAATTCACTGGAAATTTAGCCGCACACTTTGTCCGCATAGCAACAAAGGAAGCTTCTCGAAGTTGTCAAAGCTTATTTCCAGAGAATTCACTAAAGCCTCCAAGAATTCATAACACCAAATACACGCAATCGTATTTAAAAAGCAACGAACGGAGAAGAAAACAGTCTTGTTGAATTACTCAAGTGAAACTAGTGTCAGTAATATCTGTGAAAGTCGAACTCGTCTGAAGGAATCCCTGCAAGGTATATTATTATTATTCTTCAATTGTTATTATTGCTGGCCAGTATATCAATATTATTTACATTGTGTCAAATCCTTGCCTAATTCTCGGGACCGCAACCCGGCCCATGTCTATTATAATTATCGATAGAGCCTGGCCTAAAAACCCTCTGACTTGAGTCCCTAGCAGACAAGCAAGAGAGGGCGCCAATCTTGATACTAGACCCCTGCCTAAATCTTAATTAATACTACGAGACATTACCGGTCACACCACAATAAATTGGTTCTGATCAAGCCACAAAAGAGGGCGACAAATATTCGTAATAATCCCCACCACCGGCATGAGCCGAATATCACTGTCAATTCCCAAGTCGAGTCAAGCGTCTAATCAGTCGCGAGCCGAAGCTCGCTTGATACTATTCGAGTATTGATATAAGCGTCGAAGCTCCGCGAGTCAACTAATGTCCAATGTGATTTAAGCACGACTCACACGATACATGACTATAAAATAAGACCCGAAATTGTTACCTAACAAAGATTGCACTCCCAGACGACGTTTCGACTTAATTATTAGCTGCCTAGTCACTGCATTCAACAATTCTCACCATAATAAAGAACACCTACAATACTGTAATAACTATTTAAATATAGGTCACTAAAGCCAATTGTATTTACTCTGAGTTGATGCATTAACCTCCCCACCCCCCCGTCACAATTAAACCGGTGGTACGGTCTAATCCACCCACCGTGATCTGCGATCATACTGGTGGCTGGAATTTCAAACAACTATATATATATATATATATATATATATATGTAATAGTTATTACCAATGTAATAAACTATTTAACAAAATATTATGTATTCGTCAAAAATATTTTGGGATTATTTTTTTTTTAATTTTAAAGCTTATCAAAGACTTGAGCTAATTAGAAATCTTATTTTATTAATCAATAAGAATAGACTCATTTGTCCCCGAATACTCACATACCGAAACGTAGCAAATTCACCTCTTAAAAGCATTCGCAAGCGGAAAGCTGAGTGGAGAAAAGTAAAGAAAGATTTTCTTCATTCAATGAAACTGCTGTTATATTGTCTTCTGAACTACACTATATTATATCATAGTATAATCTATACCAAACTTAACTTCCCGAGTAAGATTTTAAGATTTCGTCACGTTTATGCTTCGGTATTATGTTTACACACCCACAAACCTGCTCCTTCATTTTACTATCTGCAGATCCTTTTTAGAAACTTTATTGAACCATTAATTTTAATAGATTTAATCAAATTTTTCATTGAAGAAGATAGTGATGAAATAAAAGAGAAGAGGTATTAAAGCAAAAATATCTCTTCATCGATTATAAACTTTATTCATTTTTATTCTTAAGTAAGTAAAGTAAGTAAGAAGAAGTTAGCCAATTTTTTTCTAATTTTATAAGTTCTTAAAAATAAATATAATGTATTATAAATTAAATAATAAGATCAATAATATCTGTTTTTGCTTATAAAAAAACGAGATCAATGTACGTAAAATTTAAAATTCTTAAAAAACTATATTTTTTTAAATACATTACATTAGGTCAAATGATTATATATATATATATATATGCATCAAAAAGTTTGATAATTATCTTTCTACATATGTAGATGTAATAAGTTTTATATAATAAGGTCATTCTACACTCTTTAAATACTTGGATCAAGCATCCTTTCTCCAATGTATACGTATTTCATTTGTTTAAAATGAATTTTGAAAACTCTATTTTATGGATGAATAATTGTAAAATTATAAACAGATGGAAGTAAACATTCATTGCAAATAATATAATTTTGTAAGTTCATCTGAAAATTTATGAATATCTTGAAATTCTATCAATTATACCATTCGTATAAAAATATTTTAAGTCGTATTTTAATTTTGTACTTTAATTAGATTTTTAGATATCAAGTAAATTTAATTATCAAGACAAATTTTATAAAATTAAAAAATAATTATTTTTCAGTATATAAATCTATAACTTACTTAATTCTTCTTTCATATTTAAAAAAAAATCTGCAAATGTAATCGAAGTGTTAGCGCAAAATAAGTTTACTCTTTTGCAATGTATTGACTTTATGAAAACTCAAAATATTTATACCAAATTATTATGAAGTCATAGATAAACTAAAGAACTAAGAAAGATAAATAAATAAACAAGCTTGCTTTTTGCATTCATTGCAAAATTCTTTCTTTCACACCATTCTTATTGATCAACAATACCACAAAAACTTTTACA